CCATGTCTCGAAATGTCCCTCTATCTCGGATGCGAAAGACACTGCCTCCCTCAGGAAGTCCCACCGTCCCCCGGCGTGCGGCAGTTCGTGGTTCTGGACAAGTTCCGCGGGATGAGGAGGTCGTCGTCCGTTCGATCCTTCCTGCGAGCAGTTGGCACATGGTCGTGGATCCACGCGTCCGTGTGCTATCTGGTCGGCTCTGTCCCACAGGCAGTTGGCGTGCACCGACCAATGGTGTCCACACGGGATCTGGATAGGCTCGAGTCCCTCGGCCTGTGGTGNTGGATAGGCTCGAGTCCCTCGGCGTGTGGTGGTGGCCCAAAGTGGCCTTCACAGTACGAACACGATCCGGTGCTACCGCCTCCGTTCGCGCCGGTGAGTTGGGGCCGTGTGTCGGGGACGGAACGTCGCGTTTCACCTGCTCGATCAAGCTCGCGCAATCTCTCACGAGCTGCTACAACCCTATCCTGCAAGGTTTCCCGCTCCCCATCAGCGAGACTCCATGCCGGGATCGTGATGGCTATTATCTCTAGGAGGCGGGGCCAAAAGACGTTGCGCCTCGAATCGTGCATGGCTGGATTCGGGCATGCCACTATCCTAGAGCTGTCCGACGGCGCGGTAGAGGGCAGGTGGTTCTCCACGAAGGTCATCGCGCACGTAAGATGTACCCTGCATGATCACGGCGCGGTGACAAGCGGGCGTTGCCAAGTCCCGTTCTGATGGCATACGACGCAGACCCCGTCCGTCGCCTCTCGCGGAGAAGGCGTTGTAGGCGGAGCAGGTGGCGACGGGCCGGGCGAAGGAGGAGGAGAAAGTGTGTAGACGTATGTGGACGGGGCCGGAGGTTCTGTGGGTTGTCTCCTCGTTCCGACGCGAACCGGCATGCGCGGCCCGAAGTCTCGCAGCTGGCCCCTGATTGTTTCGATCCGCGCGCCTAACGCCCGCTGATCCGCTTCGTTTTCGTAAAAGTTGAATCTGGCGTGCTCCGGTAGAACGACCGTTGCTTGGAAGCCGTGATCCTGTCTTGTACGCTGGTGCGGGCACGAAATAATGTCGTGTCCGCTCGCCAGGGCGTCGTGCAGTTGATCTTCTACGAGTCCCACCGCGCATCGAGTGTGGTAGTGACATCCACAGGGCGGAGACATGGCAACCCCCTGACCTAATGATTCGTGACAAACTCCGCAGAGATGGCGAGGCGCGTGCGTTTGACGCGCCTCCCGTGCGGTCGAGCGAGCCACGTCCCTCTCCGATCTCCCTGCTCGAAAAACCTCAGAAACTACGTCGTTCCCGTGCTGCTGTTCCAAGCTGGTACTCGTCTCTGAGATGGTGGACCCTATCCGGCACATGGGGCAGTGGAGGGTATCGCCCACTTCCCGCACGCATGCCCTCGCATAGCAGCCCACACACATCGCATGACCGCAGCTAACGAGGTTCACAGACGGTTCGCTGACATCTCCTAAACAGATGCCACACACCAGTGGTTCAGTAGGCGCTGCTGCCGTTTCCGCGGTGGCCGAAGAAGGCGTGTGTTCCGGCGAGGCCAGCGCTGTAGTTGGAGACGTGTCCCGAGGCTGGGCGACTGTCCGTTGCTCCGGCGAATGCGACGAACACTGTTCCCGCCGGGGGGGACGCTCCTCTGACTGCAATTGCTGCGATGGCGTCGACCGCTCGGGGGGCAGTGCAGTCGGGCGACCCGTTGGCTGGGCTAGATCGCTGGTATCCGTCTGGGCCAGGGACTGCGGGGCCACTCGGTCGACGTGACGAGTTTCGGGGGAACTGCCCCCCTCCGAAGGAAGAGAGGGCCCTGACTGCGGTTGACTTGGTGTGATGAGGGTAATCGGGACGGCGGGCCACGTGGGGAGCAGGTCTGCGACTTCCCCACCTGGAGCACTTGCTACGTCCGTTCTTCGGCCCGAGGGGGGAGCAGAGTCTCCCCGGCGTGCCTCGGGAGGTGTCTCCCCGGTGTCTGCCTCGGGGGGTGTCTCGCCCGGGTCTGCCCCCGGCAAATCCCATTCCTCGGCGTGGCCTCCTCGCGGCCTACTTCCTTCTAGGGGTCGACTTCGTGCGCACGGTGGTTCTTCTGGCGCTGCATTAGCGGTCGGGAAAGGGTCGAGGCCCAGTCTTGGTGCGCGGTCGGTGACGCCTTGTGCGCTTGCTGATGTTTGGACAGGGGGGGCGGCAGATACCTGACGCCCGACCACGGCGCTGGTGCGCGACCGAGTTCTCGTCGAGATGCGGCCCTCGTTGGCAAACCCCTGGTCCCGAGTCCCGTCGACGCCCTCGTCCGAGCGCCTCGTCGCTGCCAGCCGAGCAGATGGGAGGGTGGGTTGGTCTGCCGGGCTCCGTCCCTCCCGGGTATTTGGCGGAGCTTCTCCGCTGGAACCGGAAGTGGGAACCTCCGACGGTTCGGTGGGAGACTCCGGCATCGGCGATCCCACGTCCACGCGAGCTGTTAACTCTCCCGACAAAGCTGATACGTCCGTGCGCGGCGGGGTCGACAGGAGCTCTAGCGCCGCTCCTCCCGATGGGGCAGCCGCGGACAAGGCAATCTCCGAGAATCCCGGCGGCCGGCGGGCTGGAGTCAACGTGGGCGTCTCAGAAGACGCGAGAGCCGGACCGACCGGCGTAGTCACAGAATCCGTGTGTGTCGTAGCGCGCCGCACGCGCAACCGTGTCCTTGATGAGATATGGCTACCTAATGAAGGACCTAGGCTCCCAACAGTACCTACGTCTCCCCCGGCCGAAGCCCCTCGTGCCGCCAAGACAGGTGGGAGGGGACGTGGAAAGGCCGCCCCCGCGGCCTCTCGGGTGCTACGGGTAGAAGTCCTGACGACCGCGCGCGCGATAGAACCTTGGGGGGAGGCTACTAATGACGGCGCAACCGCGCCGGGCTGGGGCGGATCGACGTCCATGCTGTCAGCCACACTATTTGTATCCCTCAGAACAGCCGCATCGGGTGAAGCCGGCCGCGGTGAAGCCCCCGGTAGCGCTGAAGGGGTGCCTGTCGGCCGGGTCCTCTCTGAAGAGCGCGGAGGGTCCGGCATCTGTGGCCCCGGATTGGGTGGCGCCGCCAAAAGAGCTCCCTCCCGAGAATTGCCGGGGGTCGATGCTCG